TCCAATCTGGCTTTCTGCTAATTGTTTTGTTTCTCCATTCTAATAAAAATTCTGACAAAGAAAAAGGAGGTTTCTTTTCATAAGATGAAGGATAGGACATCTAAATTCCTACTTAATGACAACCAATTTACCATATACTCGGGCAAATTAAAATGCCTTTAATTAGTTTTTACAAAGTAAAAGGGTAGCTTCATACTTTATTTAGATAAAAACCGCCACTGCCTGACTAGATACGTTTTCATCAAATAGGGGTAGTAATGTGGGCTGACCTTCCAAGGATTCTCTCTTATTTTACATCTTTATTTGCAGATTTTAAATAACTAATTTGCATAATAACACTGAACTTTCCCCTCCACAACAATTCTTAATTGAAATGTGGTTTTGACGAATCAATAGAGAAACTTTCCACTCTACAAAGCCTACCAACATGTTCCTGCAGACGTCTTAGCATATTTCTTTAACTCTGTGTGTGGTAATGAATGATGTCTCCAGTGGAAACAAATACAGCCTTGCACTCCCAAGTCCAGAGACAGAGGTAGTCCACAGTAGTAAAGAGACAAAACCTGTTGCTATTGAGTTCATTTCTGACTTCGAACAACTCCTCATTCAAAAGTGAAACTGTGTTCCAGGAGGTTTGCAATGAGAGACTTTCCTGAAGTAACTCATCACGAATTTCTTCTGAGGCTCAAAACTTTAACCTTTTGATTATCAACTGTATTTGTTAAGACTGTACCACAAGGATCTTTCAAAGAGATTAAGGCTACAGACATTATTAACAACTCTGAGAGAGTGTGCAAAAGATTAATATGCTCAGTTACTAAACAAAAGTTAGAGGTTAAAGTATACCCAAAGCTAACCAAGTTTGGTTTTTTGTTTGTTTTGTTTTTTTTTAAATGGCTTGGTAATTGATCTTTTACTTCTAAATATCAGTCACTGAAAACCCTATTTTCCATAGAAACATAGAAATGTATTTCTATCCTAACATACATAGGTCAACAGGAGTCAGAATTGACTGTCAAATGGTGGTGGAAGCTAGAGAGCTGACAAACGTGTATTCTTTGTCTTAAGAAATCTATGGGAGAGAGAATAGTCTAAAAGTATTATATTTTAGGGCATTATTTTTATCGTAGGAGTATGCAATGAGGGTTGTAGAGTGGATTAT